TCTATCTGCTCAAAGTTTACCTTCTGTCTTCCAAGCTCTCCATCAGATTCAAGATCAGTTACCTCTGTGTGCCTGGGAGGGGGAAGAGTACTAAAGATGGAAAGGACATGAATGAAGCCCAGGTTTCTTTGAACGTGTTAGGTCAACTGACACCCTGGCTCAGGTGCACCAATGACCCTAGTAACAGCTAGAATGACTGGCTGGCATTTATTCTAGAGAATAAATGACTGGAGAGCCATAGAGAAGACACACAAGGAATCCAGAGAGCTGAGGAAAGAAGGCAGAATCTGCAGGGAGCCATGGAAGGTGTGAAGGCTGGACTGACAGAGGACAGGACAGAAGGATAGACAGCTTGTATAGCACAACCCAAGCAAGACGTTATAAAGTCTGCTCTTCGGGAGAGAAAAATCTCACCACCTAAAATTAAAAGTCAGTTCCTGCCTGTGACGCCTCTCAGAGGTGTGTGTGTGTGTGTGTGTGTGTGTGTGTGTGTGTGTGTGTGTGTGTTGTATGTGTGTGTGTGTGTGTTGTATGTAGTATGCATGTTTGTGTATGTATGTGAATGCATGTGTGCTTATACAAGCGCACACCAGAGGTCAATAGGTCAATGTAAGCTATCTTCTTGGATCTCTCTCAACCTTGCTTTCTAAGACAGGATGTCACCAAACCTGGGGCTCATCTGTTGGCTGGGCCGGCTGGCCTGTGTGCCTGAGGAATCTGCCTTCCTCCACACCTCCCCACACACATGCACTACGATCGCTGAGGACACCGTGCACACTACCATTCTCAGCCTCTGTGTGGGTGATAGGCTCTAAACTCAAGTTCTCATGCTTGCTTGCACAGCAGGTACTCCAAGCCTCCAGCCCCTGAAGTTTTTATATGAAATCTCCAAGGTAGGGAAAACTTGAAAAAAAAAATTAAAAGATTGGCAACCCAATGTCAGGAAACCCTTGCAGTCTCGTGGAATTTGGCATTTCCAAGCAGAAGGTTTCTCTACAGCTCCCTGCAGAGCTGGCCTGCAGACCTCACTGGAAAGGAGTAGGAAACCCAAGCTACCTCCACAGAGCCCTAACTATGTTGTCTGTGCATACACTGTTAAGCCTGCAGATCACACTATCTTCTATATTTCTGGAAAGGAAACTCTTGTTTCCAAAAATCTTTACATCTGGTTTTACAAAATTACCAGGTAGGATAGATTTTTAAAGTGTTGCTTCTCTACATCTATATCTACAAATCATTTACAATAAGTGGTACTACACAGATCAGGCCATTAGGAGGTGGAGAACAGGGCCAGTGAGATGGCTCAGCTGGTAAAGATGCCTTCTACCAACCTGACGGTCTGAGTTCTATTCCCAAGGTCTACGTGGTGGAAGGAGAGACCTGACTCATGCAAGTTGTCCTGGGACATCCCCATGTGCAGGATAGTACCCACTAACAAATAAGTACTTAAAAGCATAAATAAGTGTAATCTTTAAAGATGGAGAGTCTTCCAGTCCCCCTGGGTCCAACGGTATTCACAGTGTAGCTAGAGTCCTGTTGTAGGGAGACAATTTGGAACAGGTGAAAGGACAAAGTGTACAGTTCAGTTTTACTACACAGAAGGTCTTTTCTCGTTCATTAACGTTAGTAATCTTCCACTTTGATGACAGTATTGAGTATGGGTGTTGTCAGGGCTGTTGTGACTGCACACTTCACCTATTCCAGGGTCCTGAGGAGGAAGAACTCTCACATGGAAGCATAGCTATATATGTGTGTGTGTGTGTGTGTGTGTGTGTGTGTGTGTGTGTGTGTGTGTGTGTGTGTGT